TACTCTGTTGCAGGTCACCCACTGGCAAAGCCCGCACATGCACGCGTACTTCCCCGCGCTCAACTCGTACCCGTCGCTGCTGGGGGACATGCTGGCGGACGCCATCAACTGCATTGGCTTCACCTGGGTGGGTTGTGGGTGATGATGGACGGCCGGGTAAATGGCGCCATCAGCTGGCGCGCCGGGCTGCCCGCGGGGGCTGCCCAGAGGGGGCTGCTATGGTTGACGAGTTGGTGCTCATTTGCAGGCCGCGAGCCCCGCGGCCACCGAGCTGGAGACCGTCGTGATGAATTGGCTCGGGAGGATGGTCGGGCTCCCCGATGACTTCCTGCACCTGCGCAGCGACAGCCCGGGCGGCGGCGTCATCCAGGTGAGGGAGGGACTTTATGGGGGCCCGGAAGGGTGGAAGGGTGGGGTGGGGGGAGTGATTGAGAACGAAGTGCTAAGCAGTCTATGGCAATAATTTTGACGATTTCGAAATCAATCAGAAATAGAGTCTGGGTGAATCGTGTGTTTCTGTCCCAGACCACCGCGAGCGAGTCGACATTCATCTGCCTGCTGGCCGGTCGCACCGAGGCGATCCGCCGCTACAAGGAGCGTTGCCCGGATCTAGAGGATGCCGAGATCAACAGCCGCTTGGTGGCCTACACGTCGGACCAGGTGCGGGGCCGCGGCGGCGCGGCGGTGCAGGCCGTGGGGGCGGGTCATGTGCGGCACAAGGGCGCTAAAGTCGTATGACCTCGTCATGTCCATAGGCGCACTCGTCCGTGGAGAAGGCGGGGCTGATCGGCCTGGTGCAGATGAGGTACATCGAGAGCGACGACCACCTGAGTCTGCGCGGAGACCGTCTGAGGGAAGCCCTGCGCAAGGACCGCGCCAACGGACTCATCCCCTTCTTCGTAAGTCCACGACGCTCGCGTCCACGCCGCCAGCTTGTTCTCTGTTCCACCAGAGCTGCGGGGGGACCGTCTGAGGGAAGCCCTGCGCAAGGACCGCGCCAACGGACTCATCCCCTTCTTCGTAAGTCTACGACGCTAGCGTCCACGCCGCCAGCCTGTTCCCTGTTCCACCAGAGCTGCGGGGGAGGGGAGGGGAGGGGGTGGTATCTGCTGCTCCCATTGCGGTGCCGCCACTGAGTCTCTGAGCCCCAATCCGCTTAAGCGTGGCGGGCTGCCTATGCTGGCAGGAGGCGGACTCTGATTGGCTGACTCGCCAGCAACCTCAGGGGACCTCATTAGGGGGATTGCTCAATACAGCCCTGTTCTGTGTCTTTCTTGCTCTCCCTCTTGCTCGTCCGCTCCGTTCGCGCTCCTCGACCCGCAGCTGTGCGCCACCCTGGGCACGACGGGGGCGTGCGCGTTCGACAACCTCATGGAGCTGGGTCCGATCTGTAAGTATTGTGGCCGTCCAATCGGGCATCGCACCCCTAATCAGAACTGGACGAGCGGCGTTGCGTTCAGGGGCTAACGGCAGCTTGTGGACTTATCCAGGCAAGGAGGAGCGCCTGTGGCTGCACGTGGACGCCGCCTACGCCGGCTCCGCCTTCATCTGCCCCGAGTTCCGCGGCTGGCTGGCGGGCATTCAGTTCGCCGACTCTATCGCCTTCAACCCCAGCAAGTGGCTGATGGTGCACTTCGACTGCACGGCGATGTGGTAGGTCGGCGCAAGCGACCGTAGCATCGCTCGAGAGTCACCTACGGGACAACCATCCCAGTTGGTGGAGGAAGAGACTTGTCACTGTCACTCACCAGTACACCATCATTTTGTTTTCGTACCAGGGTGAAGAATAGCAACGCCCTGCACCGCACATTCAACGTGGAGCCGCTGTACCTGCAACATGAGAACTCGGGTCTGGCCATCGACTACATGCACTGGCAGATCCCGCTCAGCAAACGCTTCCGCGCCCTAAAACTTTGGTTCGTCATCCGGAAGTACGGCATCAAGGGCCTACAGAAGCATCTGCGAGAGGTGGGTCTAGGGGATGCAACCCGGGGGTCGCGTGGGGGTGGAACCACAGTCTCAGACTTTTCCCTGTCGCCTGCTCCAGGGTGTGCGTCTGGCGCAGAAGTTCGAGGCTCTGGTCTTATCTGACCCGCGCTTCGAGGTCCCCGCCAAGAGGCACTTAGGCATGGTCTGCTT